AATCTCAACCAAAATTTATATACAACACTATGTACTATGGGGAATGTCTTAAGGGGTTCAAAATTGAACTTAACCCATTTCTATTGATTAGTTACTCCCAGCCTATTGAGTCAATCTAAAACAATCTTGGCAAGTTGACACTTTACACAATGCTGAATTATTCTAAAGGAATTCAAGGCCAAAGTATGAAAGTTGCTGGATTGTCTCTCAAACAACCATGCTTTTCTCATGGTCAATGAGATGTAGTGTTCAAGGGCGGGATCACCTCAAAATCTTTATTTGTTGGTAGATGGCAAACTACAAATGTTGTTAATAACGAAACTTTGTTATAATTTTAAAATTTTGAGATAAAGTTTATGTTCAAGTTATTACTTTGAAATATATGATGGCTGCTAAACTTACATTGTTTGAATTCAGTTGACGAGTATTTCAGCTTGTAATTAAATTAAAAAAAAGCTTAACTTTATTTGTTTGTTTTGAATATCGCGCAAAGCTACACGAGGGCTATCTGCGCTAGCCGTCCCTAATTTAGCAGTGTAAGACTAGAGGGAAGGCAGCTAGTCATCACCACCCACCGCCAACTCTTGGGCTAGTCTTTTCCCAACGAATAGTGGGATTGACCGTCACATTATAACGCCCTCACGGCTGAAAGGGCGAGCATGTTTGGTGGGATAGGGATTCAAACCCGCGACCCTCAGATTGCGAGTCGAGCTCCCTAACCACCTGGCCATGCCGGGCCTGAAGCTTAACTTAGTGTTTGATAGAACAAATAAGATACGATATTTCTACCTTCATCTCTCCAGTAATGAATGATATATTTTAATATGGGGCTGTTTCCACTGTAGGGCACTGTCCAGGATAAACTTGTACTTCTGCTCCAAACATGTTCAATTCGAACATCTGAGGGGCTATCGGGAACCTCTGTAGAGAAATGATCGTTCAGTTTATGGTCCTCTTCATCTACTTACAGTTCCAAGTTTCTCAAAACGAAACTAATTATTTAGTGTAATAAACTGATATGATACACAACTGATTTGTTTACAATTGGGTTCTTTATTTATCATGTTATCGGTTATGTTATTTAGCAATACTTCAACAGAAGCAACTGATACGTTAGGTAACGACACTTATCTTATAAACTCAGTATAGATCGAACAAATTCATCTATTGATTCGACTATAGTATTACAGCTTATTGTGACATTCATCGTCGATTGTTTAAAAACGCTGTATAGATCGAACAAATTCATCTATTGATTCGACTATAGTATTACAGCTTATTGTGACATACATCGTCGATTGTTTAAAAACGCTGTATAGATCGAACAAATTCATCTATTGATTCGACTATAGTATTACAGCTTATTGTGACATACATCGTCGATTGTTTAAAAACGCTGTATAGGTCGAACAAATTCATCTATTGATTCGACTATAGTATTACAGCTTATTGTGACATACATCGTCGATTGTTTAAAAACGCTGTCGCTAGTATAATATTTTAAAACCAAAAATCTTTACTAATTTTGGTGGAATTGTCTTCAAATTAATCTGCAATGCAACAAAGACTTTTTTGTTTGTAATTAAGCACAAAGCTACACAATAGGCTATCTGTGCTCTGCCCACCACGGGTATCGAACTCCGGATTCTAGCGTTGTAAGTCCGAAGACATACCGCTGTGCCACTGGGGGGGCTCAACAAAGGCAATCTAATATAATAACAGCTTGCAGTTAGAAATGGCCTTTACATACCAAGAATATAATAGCAGCCTTGGACTTGACAAGGTTCAATGAAAGTTTATTCTTAGCTCTTTGTTCAAGAAAATTTTAGGGTAAAGCACACACTCGCTTTCTCTATCTTGAGATAAACTTCATTTACATTCTCTGTTTTGTTGAGGGAAGGTTTTGGATCCTTGATGAGAATAGCTTCATTTATCCTCAACTCCTCCTCATCACAAGCTGACGAAACCATTCGAAGTCATTAAAGTGGACTGTTATAAAACGTGTGCGCTTGAGCGTATATGCTTGATCTGTTGAAGATAAGCTTTTGAAAGTGCTAATTGAAGCATCTTTGTACCAACTGTGTAGCATCTGACAACTGTAACTATATAACTCCGTTCAGGATTAAGGACAGAATTAACAAACGCACTGCATACTAGTTGTTTGGAGCTATAGGTGTAATTATACATATAAATATGAATACACGTTAATATTTTCGCCAATAGATGCCATTTATTAACATTTCACTGTATTCAAAACTAATATTTTTTTTATTTCTTCTTTTTTATTTTTTAGAGCTAAGTCACATTGGGCTATCTGTGTCCACCGCAGGGTTATCAAACCTCGAATTTCAGTGTTGTAAGTTCGTAAACTTACCGATGTCCCACTGGGAGTTTCTGTGTCCACCGCGGGGAATCAAACCCCGGATATTAGTGTTGTAAGTCTGTAAACTTACTGAGTTCCCATCATAGGGGGACTATAAACTAATGCCATATAATCATTAACGCATTATGAATTATTTTTTGCCATCCAATAAATATTTGTTTGCCATTATGCTTAACGACATAAACTAATGAAGCTCTTAAAAATACTGTCATCTTTAAAATACAGTTAACTTGAAATGTTTTTTGCATACCTAAAACAAGTAACTTAATATTCCGTTTGTCTTTTCCGGATGAATTCTCGGCCTGGCAGGTATAAAGTCCATTATCATTACGATCTACGGCATGAATCCGGATCTCCGACTGAGTCCCTTGCTCCCTCGTTCTGTCATATATTTGGAATCTGTTTAGAAAAAAAGTTCCGAATGTGTTTACAAGATATTCTTAATATTTAGGATACAAAATATTCTATAAAAAAAATATCAATTTCCACACAAAATACGAAAACGATAAATGATTGATTCATCAGCACGTTATAGTTAACAATGTCACGTGAGACACTGTTACCAAAACAAGTTAACTGCGGATATTTGATGTCGTTGTGTTAACAGTTTCATATTCCTCTTAACTTGTCCATTGAAAGTTCGAGAGATAGATCTGTTTTTTTCACATCTCCGAGATGAAGCCGCAATGGAAAAATTAAGAGGAATGTGGAGAAAAACGCTTACAATTAGCTTGTGTTTATAACAATTTTAGGCCTATTGGTTTTCCAAAATTTCGCTATCTTTTGGTGTTTAAACCATAATGAAATACGAGATACAACATTTTTCGAACAGTTTAAAATTTAAAGTACAGTTTTCTCTAATAAGCATATCCTACATCTCTAATGGGTGTTTTTTTTTCTTTGGATCTATTTAATATTAAACTCAAAAATGTTTTAATAACACAGACGTTTTTACATTTTTAATACTTTAGAAAAAAACAGTAAAACCCGCAAATTAAACAAAGTCAACAGTGTAGATTTATCATGTTAAAAAAAACTTCAAAATCAAAACGAAATTTTGTTTAGTCAGTAAGTATAAGAAATATTGACACTCAGTATAAACATTTTTTTTCTCAATATGTTAACTGAATCGATAAAAATAATATTAGATGTAGCGAGTAAATGTAACTAACGCGTTTTATATGATCCTTTAAAAGTCTAAAATTATATGATTTTAGTTAAAAGATGTCACATAACTACTTTACCTGGCATTGTCTATTTTAGACAAAATAACCTTGTCCTTTAGCCAAGTTAAAATAATAGGGTTATCACCATGAGCGTTACATCTCAGATAAGCTGTTTCTCCATGTCGCACTCGTTCCACTGTGAACTTCTGCTCAAATCTGGCTGGAACTGTAATGTATTTTAACATGTCATACATGATTTGGATTTGTGCTTTATCCAATTGCTAATGTAGTATCCTTAACTGAGCTTACTTCTCCTGTTAATTTCAGCTTTATCATAAAGGATGAGAAGATCGTTTCAGGATCAAAAGACTTGTTTTTTTTTCTCTCACTCGTTAGACGGTGTTTAATTTGCACAAAAATTAAATGTATTACACGTATTATTATGATCACATTTAAATAGCTTTTTTAAGTCTTAAATTCAATACTAAATATAAAATATTATTCCATTAGAAGTTACAGCTTTTACATTAAGGAAGAATATGTTTAAAATAGGTACGAAGTTTCGATCGAAACGTCGTACCTGTTTTAAAAATATTCTTATTTAATGTAACAGCTGTAACTTCCAATGGAATAATACTTACAATAACCACTATTAACAAAACTATAAATATAAAATATAATTAAGGAAACTGAATACGATTTATTTTGCAATAGATTGTTGGTTTGAGAGGAAAGCCACATGGGGCTATTTGCCGTGTCTACCGCGGGGAACCCAACCCCGGATTTTAGCGTTATAAGTCCGTAGACTTACCACTGTCCCATCGGGGTACTAGTTTGCAATAACAGTTTCTCTTCATAAACAACAATTTGTGAGAATATACTTTCTATAAGAAATTTGACTATATTATTATTACTTATAAAGCAGTTGAAAGAAATACATGATTAAAAAATTATAAAGCAGTTGAAAGAAATACATGATTAAAAAATTATAAAGCAGTTGAAAGATATACATGATTAAAAAATTGGCATATGCCAGCTCTCTCGGTAAATATGAAAATCTAAACTAAAATGCAGAATTAACTCTCTGATCATAAAGCACTAGATTAATATAAGTTAAAATATTTCGAGGTTTAATGTAAATGAATGAAAACCCTATAACCCGAGAGCTTTCCAAAGGTGAACCTTTCTTCTTCATGGGCAAACTTAGAATTTGATATTTCCTAACACTATCTAACCTGAAAGGTAAGCAACTTTTATCAATGGCAATCATTCGATATGTCAGAGGTAAGCTTCAGGAGTTAAAATGCTAAACTCCGGGGGTTTGAGTGCATAATTCTTCTCGTGATTCATGGCATGTGCACGTTTTACTGACGTCACGATAGTACAAATTGCAACGTTAAGCAACCTTTATGTGACGCCATTTTACTGACTGACTCACCGACTGACAACACACTACTGTGGTTCGAGTGGTTAAAACAGGTGACCCCTCCAGGCGGCCTTGGGCCCCCTTTCGGGGAAATTACGTAGAAACTTCCTTTTTTTTAACAAATACATATTTAATACAGATTAAAGTATAAATAGGGCAACACTGTGCAATAAACTTTATTTAAAAATATAGGCAAAACAACGTTTAAATTACACAATGAAATTTAAAAAAAATTAATAACTACATATCTCGGTAGCTTCTGCTACCATCATCAGGAGTAATAAACTATGCGAACAGCGGGTTTTTGTATAAGAATGGTTGGACTCACTGTAATTCACCGGAGTGACATGAATACTGATCATATGAAGTCAATATTTCTTATCAAAATTCAACAATATCGCCATCCAAATGATTATTTAATTTACAACACATAATTTCAATATATTCTCTAATATTAAACTCATTTACTATACTGAATTCATTTAACATTATTGTTTTATGCCACTGTATTGAATGACCTGTTTCTACAACATATTAGCCCAGCGGATAAATTGACATCTTGTTATTACGTACATAATCTTTATGTTCATTAATGTGGTATTTCAAATTACGTTTAGTTTGGCCAATATGTTTTTTGTTACATTCACATCTAATTTGATAGAATATCTTTTTTATCTTTAGGGTTAGGAAGTATTGTTTTAATATTATTAAATGGCTTAAAAATGGGAAAATAATTATGTTTTCTAAATACATTGGCAACTCGACTAGTTATACCATTTACATATGTTAATATCAATATACTAGTTCTAATAATAAACACTGTTTAATGTAGTGCATTGTTTAATTAAACTTGAATTGTATTTTATTTGTATTAAACGTTCAATTATGTCAACAGTATAACCTCTATCATTAGCAACGACTTTTATATACAATCAAAGGAACGCATACGCCTCAATAATTCTTAATCGGACGTATTAAACATGAACCGAATAATTTCTGATATCATGATTAACTTTATATCATTTCTTATAACACATCGATTATAAGCCCGTGTTGGCATCTATATTAATGGGCTACCTGTGCTTGCCCACCATGAGTGTCGAAACCCGGAGTTTTGCGGTGAGAACCCTCAAACTTATCGCCTAGCCACTGAGGGGGGTGAACTAAATAGATTTCACGTGCGAAAAACAAAAACTAACACGTCAACTGGTATGTTTATCATAATTGTGCTTTAATGTCATAAAACAAGATATATGGCCACTTTGAAATCTTTTCTAATTGTTGCTAATTCTAGATTTTTGACTCACATCTTCGCAATTATGACCATATGCAAACTACTGATACAGCTGTTCTTTCTGTTCAGCGCGGGAAAATGTTCTTTTCGTGGGTACAATCATCCCCGTCAGGTCAACCGGAAATCATATGACGTCACCATACTCAGCATGTGTTATCGCGAGTCACGGAGTGCTAAGAACGCCATCACCCACACAGCATTGACGTTATGTACTGCGCAATGACTTAATAAGCAGAAAACACGTCAATACTATCACTAAGAATTTGATACTAGGTTTCAAAAGTTACAAAATTGAAATATCAAATAAATTGTGTCTTTGGCGTTAGGCTATAACAGAATAAAAAGAAGGTTAGGCTTGATTTACTTGTTATATCTCATGGGAAATAGATACAGTTTTGGCATGGGCGTAAGCAAAGAAGTGGGGGGGCACTTGCCACCCCTGGGAAATGAGAAACATAATTCTCTCTTTATTCATTCAAAATTTCACGCT